TTTCCAGAATAAGTCAGAAAGATGACTCCAAGTTCAATAAATTACTAGATGTCTTTAACTCTATCACAAAGGAAATATTTGTCTGAGTTATCAAATGTCTCATTGAGGACCTAGGTGCAGTCCTTCCTGGGATCATTAATCACTCAAAGAATTACTCTCACCTGAACACTAATTGTTTGGATCGCATTCATGACAGAGTTGAGATCTCTAGCCTAAGTAGGCTGCAGAATTTTAGTCTGAAATGTAGCTGTTATGAAACGGAATGAGTATTAAGAAACTTACCTCAAGGCATAGATATTTAAAAAGTTTATTTGGAAGAATTTCAAACATATACAAAATTATATGAAAGGAGTATAATTATTATCATTTCCATTTACCTATCAGACAGCTTCAACAATTATCAACTCATTACTAATCTATTTCCCCCATACCACTTTCCCCTCTCCAGTTACTAAAAAGTAAATTCCAAGAATTATACCCTTTCATCAATAAATATTTCAGAAGGTATCTCCAGGAGATAAGACCTCCCTTTAAAAATAGAACCACATTATTATATACAAAAATTAACAATAATTCCTTAATATAAAAGAATGGGGTGGTGGTCAAATTCTCCTCATTTTCTCTCCTTTTAATTAAAAAATACTTAATTTTTTCAGAGCATTTTTAATTTACAATAAAATTGAGTTGAAGGTACAGGTATTTCCTATATACCCCTTGTTCTCACATATTCATGGCCTCTTCCATTATCAACATCACTCACCAGAACAGTACTTTTTAAGAAAAATAAGGATAAACCTACACTGACACATTATAATCACCAAAGTTCTTAGTTTACCTGAGGGTTCACTCTTGTGTTGCACATTCAAAAGGTTTAGACAAATGTGTAACATACGATGCCTGTCTATAAAATATCCAGCCATGAACTGTGAAAAAGACATTTATTGAGGAAGACACAAGAAACATTGTACATAGGACAATGACTCCTCAGTCCCCTTCAAAGTAGGCAACTTGGGACCTCACACAGTTCTCCCAATCACCATCAGCTGCCCTGTCATATTTTCCCAAATCTCATCAGTGGTCTGAAATCTCTTTCCTTTCAAAAGTGATTTCAGTGTTTGGAAAAGCCAGAAGTCACAGAGCACCAAATCTAGGCTGTAGGAGGGCTGAGTCACATGGGTCCTTTGTTTTGCCAAAAACTCTGCACAAGATATGCATGCATGGGTGTGTTGTTGTGACGAAGCTGCCAGTCACCAGTTGCCCATAGCTGTGACCTTCTGAATCATCTGAATAGTTTCTGCAGAGGAATGTTCAAGCTTAACACAAAATTTGAGGCAGATTCATTGCTCTAGTCACTTAGTCATTTTGAATGCAATGGCCACACAGTACACATGCTCACTCAACAGTGTCTACCTCCCCCACTGGCTAGCACAGTGAAGTTATCATTATTCATGCATGCACATTCTTGTCCACTCTCCTTGGCTGCTAGGTTACATCAATGTTCCACACACCATTCTCATAATATTAACAATGGCTGGACTTTTTCTGGACAGACCTTTGTATATCCATCATTACAATATTATACATCATATTTTCACTGCTCTAGATATCTTCTGTGCTCTGCCTATTTATCTCCCCACCACTAGCAGCCCTTGCAATCACTGATCTTTTTATCTTCATAATTGTGTCTGTTCCAGAATGTATTATAGTTGAACTCACACAGTATATACAGTAGCCTCCTCAGATTGGTTTCTTTCACTTAGTAATATGCATTTAAAATTCCTCCATGTCTTTTCATGGCTTGATAGCTCATTTCTCTTTGGCATTGAATAATATTTTATTGTCAGGATGTACCATAGTTTATTTATTCACTCACATATTGAAAGAAATATTGATTGCTTCCAAGTTTTGGAAATTAATAGAAAATAAAAACATTTGAATGCAGGTTTTTGTATAAACATAAATTTCAGCTCTTGGGTAAATATCAAAAGAATGAAACTGCTCAATTGTATGGTAAGAGAAAGTTTAGTTTTATAAGAAACTGCCAGTCTTCCAAAGTGTCTACCATTTTGCATTCCCACTAGCAATATATGAGTATTCTGGGTTCTCCACATGTTCCACATCCTCACCAGCATTTGGTGTTGTCAGTGTTTTGAATTCTGGCCATTCTTGTAGGTGTGTCGTGGTACTTCATTATTTTAATTTGCATTTCCCTGATGATGTACGATGTGGAGCATCTTTTCATATGCTTACTTGCCATCATATATCTTCTTTGGTGAGGTGTCTGTTAAGAACTTTGGCCCATTTTTAAATCAGGTTTTGTTGTTGTTGTTGTTGTTATTGAGTTACCATTGTCTCTTTTCATCTATGGGTTCTCTCTTTCATACATAGTTTAAGAAACAGAATCACTTCTCTGACACTTCTATCATCTGGAGCTTTCAGAACTGTCATTCCAGTGTTGCATAGGAGTTCCTCTGTCCCCTGTATTTCCATTAAATGGTTAGATGTAGAAACTTGATCAGATTCAGGTTCCATTTTTTGTTACTCAAGGTTACTTCACAGGCAGTGAGGCAGCCTTCCACCAGGAGATTCAGTAACTCTTTTTGAGATGTCAGCAGGTATTGATTACTGCATTGATACATTAATGAACTAATGGTTGCAAAATAGTGATATCAACTGCCATCCTTCCTTCTTTTATTAGGTTTTTATGCCTCTTTGAAAAAATTTCCCCTCATTAACTTTTACTCTAAGATGCAATTCATACAGTGAGGCCAGAGAAACGCTTAATTTTTCCTCTACTTACCACTTTTCCAAATAAGGAATTGATTCCCTGCCACCATTTAAAAGTGATCACTGAGTTTTAAAAAATCATTATGAACTTATGTATGTGAACATATTTAATATTTTTCAATCCACTCATGTTATTATAGTTATTGATGCTCAAATTGTTCCATCTTTGGTGAGTGGAAATCTATTTAGGTTGGTTCTTGAATCCTTTTGACCTGACCCTACTAGCCTTTAAAACCTTTCCTGCTTTTTGCTAAGACAAGTTGTTCCAGGCTTCTTTTACATTTCATAACTCAGGCCTGGAGTTAGCTATTTCTTTAAAACAATGGTTCACAAAGTGTAGTTTCAGGACCTCTTGGAGTTCTTGTGATCGTTCCTTGGGATCTGTGAGGTCAAAATTATTTTTGTAATAATACTAGTTGCTACTTGCCCTTTTTAACTCTCATTCTCTCACACATGTGTATGAAGTTTCCCAAAGGTTACATGATGTGTGCCATTATGATTGAATGCAGAAGTGGTTATAATTCTGTTGTCATTTATTAAGCCAGGCATTAAAGAAAATTACAAAAATGTAAAAACAATGGCACTCTTCTCACTAAATAATTGTTAATGGATGTTTTGTTATTTTGAAAGTCTGTTTTAATTTCTAATGCAATTCTAATTCAGTAGATATAACCCACATAAACAAAAGCTCTTTGGAGCCCTCAACAACTTTTAAGAGTTTAAAGAAGTTTGGTACAAAATGTTTGAGAACTGCTGCTCCAAGCAGTCTTAGTTCCTTTCAATAGAAAGTGATACTTACAGATCACAATCTAGAAGCTAGAGATGTTCATGGTTACTAGGTTGGTCATTGTTTTTAGGCCATTCAATGAGATAAAATGATATGTACATACATATTCAAATTAAAGACTACAGAGTTTTTACTTAAACTCATACAGTTTACATTTGTATCTCCTTTCTCCCATTACAAAAATCTCAGCATAGCCACATATTTTCAGTGTCAGATTAACAATACCTGCATTACCATCTCTACCAACAGTATGATTACTTAAAATAGTTTGAGTTTTTTTTTGTTTTGTTGCAGTTCTTTTTGTCTTTGAGGTATATCTCTCTATAGATGTACAGTAGGTAATTCGATGGTTTAAAGTTGTTTGAAATGGTGTGTTTTCAAGATTATGCCACAAGGCAAATCAATTAAATCCATGTGTTTTTACTTTTGATTTTCAGAGGATGTTTTTTGTATATTCAATTTTGTTTTATAATATGAAATGTTTACATGGTTCTACAGTCAATTCTATTAAATAAGATATATTCAGAGACGTTTAGATTCTGTCTTTGTCTCCTCTATCATATTCTTTCTTCCCCATAAAACATTTTTTTAAAAACCGAGTTGCCTTTCCATTATTTTAAAAATTTAATTAAACATATAATATACATATCATATATAGTATTATTTAGTATTATTACTACCACCCTCCCTTTTTTGAATAAAAGGTAACATACTACATACACTTCTCTACCTATAGCTTTTTTCCACTTCATATATTCTGGAGGGCAATCCACAGTTGTAAAGACAGAGTACTTCATTATACTGTTGTACTGTAATTTATTTAACCAGTTTTATACTGAGGAATTCTGGGGCAATTTCCATTATATTATAAATAGTGCTGCAATGAATAGTCGTGCACATTCCTTTCATATTTTTATCACCATCTTTTGAGACAGCGTTCTAGAAGCGGCATTGTTGAGTCGAAGTGTGAATACGTCCATTTCTCCTAGATGTTAAATTACTTTTTACTTCTGCAATACAGATGAAAAAACATACTGAGATAACTGCTCGGGGCCACTTTACCAGATAGTCACTGACAACTGCTGGGATTTAAACTCGGCTGTCATGGACTCCACAAACTCCAGGGAAGGGGAATCCCAAGGTGGGAGAGGCAAGTAAAGAATTTTGCATTTGGATATCACAGTCAATAAATCACATATTCGCATCCTTCCAGCTCCCAGCACAGCAGTCTTCCTTACCAGAACCTCAAGTCCTCTGACTTCTTACACTTTGTTTTTACCACCTTCTCCCCTTCACTCCACAGCTAAAGCGCTCCTCACACCCAGTCGCTGGTGATCAGTGCCCAGGGGCAACTGCGGGTCCAGAGCTTTGCGCATGCCCAGCTACTGCGCAGAGATTGGAGCCGCGGCGGAGGCAGGGCCGGAGTGGCGTCATAACGGCGCGCCGCCCCCAGGCGTCCTCGCAAGGTCGCTTTACCTAACGGGAGCGCGCCTAAGTGACAAGACCCTAGTCCGGGGACGCGCCATCTCCGTCTTCCTGGGTACCGGCGGCGACATGACTGGGTACACGCCAGACGAGAAACTGCGGCTGCAGCAGCTGCGAGAACTGAGAAGGCGATGGCTGAAGGACCAGGAGCTGAGCCCCCGGGAGCCGGTGCTGCCCCCTCAGAGGGTGTGGCCTATGGAGAGATTCTGGAATAAGTTTCTGCAGGACCAGGCCCCGTGGAAGAACCTGGTGAGTGACGGGCCTCTCTCCCTCCTCCGCCCCCTATACACACAACCCTCCGCGACCACCAGTCTGCTGGGATGCAGCCGTACCAAGAACTGACATCTCTATGCGCCCGCAAGTCCCGATAGTTCCCCGAGAATCAGGTTCATCCGAGACTTGGATTTAGCGGGAACGCTGCTTTGTCCCTAGAGTCCTGGGCTGGGTAGGAGTCAAGAGTCCCGGAGGATATACGGCTTTGGGAGAGTCATGCCCCATTACTTTCTAGTGTGACCAGAAGGAGACGAATCTTTGCCTGGGTTTTACAGAACACTGCACGTTTGATTCTCTTTGGATTGTACAAATCTTCCCTCAGACTGATAGCCAAGGATTTACTAAAAATTCCATGATTTTAGTGTTTGAGAACACTTGTCTAATTTTTAGGGTTAAGGTTGTAGAGACCAACAAACATTATAGCCTACAACCAGAAGTCTCCTCTTGCTGATAGTACAGCCATGGTTTGATCGCCATAATAGAGAGGGTCCTATTAGTATGTTTATTAGAGTCATATTCAAGAGCTACCTTTCTAAACCACCACTATGTATTTTGAACAAACTTTTTCATTTAAGAAAAATTCCATTCCTGGACTTTACTCTGCAGAAAATCACTCATTCAGGAGTTGGCTTTAGCCCTGGCTGGTGTGGCTCAGTGGATTGAGCCCTGGTCTGGGAACCAAAGGTTGCTAGTTCGGTTCCCAGCCAGGGCACTTACCTGGGTTGTGGGCTGGTTCCCCGATTGGGGGCGTGTGTGTGAGGCAACCAATTGATGTATTTCTCACACATCAGTGCTTCTGTCACTTTTGCCCTCCTTTCCCCTCTCTCTAAAAATAAATAAAATCTTTTTTTTTTTCCCAAAGTCTCTGGACATTTTTTGAGGTCATTCATTAAATCACATCAGTTATGTAACACTAGCTCAGAATTGCTCTCACTTAACTACAACATCGGCTGATAATAATGGATATACTACTAATAAGTAACACTCTGGTGCTTACTCTGCGTTGCAGTTTGCTGAGGGTTTTATATATGTTTATTTAATTCTTTACTACTGTAAGGTAGAAAACTATTCATAATTCTCATTTTAAATGAGTGGAAATTGAGGCCTGTAAAAATTTAGTGATCTACCTGTGGTCATGGAACTAAGAATTGAAGTTCACATTGAAATCTGTGTGTATCTGCTTTTTTACAGTGCTACGAAGTGTGGTGCAAATTTCTCTGAGAAAGTGGTGTTACATATTGATTTATAGTGGTGAAATTACACTCTAATTCAGCCCTTCTCTCACTCTTTGTATCCTTCACATTATTTGTTGATTTTGGCAGCCACTGGTTGAGAGTAGACATCCCTCCCATCAGCTAGTAATGTAAAGAAATAAATAATCATTTGTTGAAATCCATCTTACCTTACTTTGAGTTAATTTTTTCTTCCACAATCATATGTATTACAACACTTAGAATCCTTTTCCTGAAAGGATAAGTGTGTTTCAGTCAAATTGGCTGCCATGGAAAAGTTCCATTTTTTTTTTTTTTTTTAGCTCTCTTTTTCCTTTCTCTTAAAATAATATAAAAGCATCTCAAAGTAAGCTTGAAACATTCCTGTGTTGGTATGTAAAACACTTTTTCCAGCATCATTTTGCTCAGGTTGTTTCCCTCACACCTAGAATAATGCCAGTGATGGTGACGGTGGGTATCTGAAATTGATAAATTAGGGAGAAGAATTTACCTGGCAAAATTCTGTAGGTTTGACTACTCTGGTTAAATTGATTAAAGTTTTATGCTGTGTTTTATCTTTAACAAACATATAATAAGGATATTTTACAAGTGTTTTTTTCAAATCTATAAATGCCTTACTATAGCTTTGCAAAGTGCTACTTGTCTTAATGCAACTTGCCCCAAACTCCAGGTATCCCCTAGAAGGCCCTATGCCTATTAAAAATATTTGAATGGGTGAGGTTAGCTACAGACTATAAGGAAGTTTGTAGCATTTAGAAGTTTTAAAATAATCATGATATTGTTATATCATTGATGTTTGTTGGTTTGTTTTTTTGCCACAAATGTAAGATAGTGTATGTGTTTATTTTTTTGTGTTTCCCCCCCCCAGATCTATAAGACATATCGACACAGTTTCCTTGTTTTTACTCATATACTTATACCTGCTTGGATTGTTCATTATTATCTCAAATATCATGTGAATGTAAGTATGTTTTAAATATGTTTTTCAGAATTTATTTTTAATATTGTACAAAATTATTTCCTACATGTGTATGCCTTATCCTGCTTTACTTAGTGGACATAATCTGCTACTTATAACTGATTTTGAACTACTTTGTATCCTTTTAGGTAAAAGGTTTAATGAAACCTAAGTAATATATCGTTTTTCAAAAAGTTAATCTTTATATTAGTTGCTTACAGTTTGAAATGCATTTCCTTATAAAAACACTGTTTAAATGATTAGAATATAATTGACCTAATAATACTAGTATAAATTCAGGATTGTGAGTAGGAAGGGAAAAAAGAATTTCTGTTTCTCTTTTGAGTGTAGACCTGGTATAAGATAACAATTCAGAATAGTCAAAGGTTATCTTTGTCATTGCCCCATTTCCCTTTCTGTTATTCTATCTGATTTTTACAACTTTTCTCTAGAATCCAGGATGTTCAAAAGCTTGAACTTTTTCACCAAAAGATCTTGCATGATGTGGTTGACCTGAGCCAGTTGCCTTATTTAAAAGACTAAAAGGATAGCCTGCTGTAGTGTGTTGGAGGCATGGTGAGGAAGGAGTGCATTTCGGGAGTGACATGGAAGAGAAAGCAGTGGTGCTTGCCTTGCATGGAGTGTTGTAACCCACAGCCAGTAGGAGGGCATTCTTGTGCCCATCAAGGAGTGTTAGATCCTGAGTGGGTTGCTGAGAGCGGGGAGGAGTGCTGGTGAGTATACCTGTTGGGAGAATAGGAGTGGCAGCAACCTGGTGTAGGATATTGGAAGAAAGGTGGATTGGGGCAATGGTGGAAGTGGCAGCACAGAGTGAAATGTCAGAACCCAAGTGAGGTGAGGGTGTTAGTTGTATTGGAGTGTGGTGGTCGTGACAGGAGATTGGTTATGTACAGGAACGTTGGTCAAATAAGTACGTAAGTCTTGTACGTTGATGATTGTGGCACCCAGGTTCCCATTGTCGGAAACTGGAAAAGGAGAAAACTCTGTGCTACTGGGATGGAATTGGAAGTATGGGTGTGAACTTGTGGTTTTTAATATGTATTGATAATACAGAAGGAAATATAGATGTAAGCATGGACATTCCCTAGCTCTGTCCACTGACAGCTCCTGATGGCAGAGCTACCCCATGGTAATTAACCCATCTAGCAGCCTGCAGCCTGGTCTTATTTTCTAAATAAAATTCTTCACTGAAAGGATCCATTGCCCTTTGAAGAAATGGCCAGTTCCAGGGCCGAAGGAGGGAAAATACAAAATGAGCTTGTTGTGCTAGGAAGTAAAGAATTGTTCAAAGAATGATTGAGCTATATCGAAAGGACACAGAGTCAGCTTGAAAGGACTCCCATTGGAATAATTTGAGCATCAAACTATGTAGTGATAATAACAGATGATAGACAACTAAATAAATAAAATGTAAATTCATGAGTCCATACTCATATAAATAAGCATAAATGGAGAAAAGAAAAAAAGAAAACCTTTTTTGTTTAATAGATTGCTAAGTAATAAGTCAAGGAATGATTGAATTAGAAAAGTCATAATTTGAGAGTCATCATAGTAATATTTTATTCAGTCATGGAACATCCAAAGATACTGAGAGTAATCTCAAAATACTTATCTTCAATATGTTACAAAGGGAAAAAGGGTAATTTTGTGGTGGAGAGACCTGGCACAGACTTCCTTAATCAAGAAATCTAAATTAACATTATAATAATGAGACAAACTGAAATCATGTGCTACTTGATAGTATGCCATAAAAAGAAAACAGCATTGTTTTGCAATATTCCTGCCAAAAATCCTGCGTCTACTCATGAGGATACTTGAGACAAACCCAAATTTAGGGACTTTTCTGCATAATAATTGACTTGTTGCCTTCAAAAGTGTCAAGATCATGAAAGTGAAAGATTAACTAAAATTCATTCCAGATTGTAAAAAACTAAATAGGCATGTAGCTAAATGCATTTTTTGATTAATAGGCATATCTGCTTAGTCAAAAGATTAAAGATGGTATTAACAGTCAAAATTTTAAGTAGCTTAAACAAGAAAGAAAAAGTTGGGTAAGATGGGATTTTCTGAGAATTTCAAACAATTATGGAAACAATTGGCAAAATTTGAATGGGTTGTTTAGGTAGAAGTTAGTAACGTATCAATGTTAATTTCCTGATTTTGATGGCTTTTTGTGATTATTTTAAGAATATTTTCCTTATTTGTAGGAAATATCCTAAAGTAATAAATCAGTCAGAAATTTACAATAAAGTAATTCAGTAAGTTATTTTTATAATTCTTGCAATTTTCTGTAAATTTAAAATTATTTCAAGATAAAAACAAAAGTTAGGAACTTCCTAAAAAGTTATAGATAATCCAGCTGAAGGTAGCCTGTTGAAAGGAAAGTAAAACAAATAATTGGGGTTCTCAGAAAATTCCCTCCCAACATGATTTGTGTTCTATTGATTGTGTGGTCTCTTTAAAATTCTGATCACTGACATCACCTTTTTTCTCTTCACTAAGCAGATTATATCCATTGATCAAAAACTATGGAGTGCATACCATGTTCTCTTCCTTTATTGCTATCAAAAATATATAAGACAGAATTCCTGACCTCAAGGAGTTTATAGTAAAGTTGGAAGATAGGTGTGATTTGGGTAAGCATGTATTGAAGAAAAATGATCCCAGTTAAAAAGAAAGATAAGGAGTCAGTAGTGGGCATGGCCATATCTAACCCAAGACTCAGAAGATGACTAGAATAGCAGGTCTCTTAGCTCTGGGACCAATTAATGGAAAATCTTGAAAACTAGGCATAGGAGGTTGAACTTTATGTGGTAGGCAGTGGGAAGCTTTCCATTTTTAAACAAGAAAGTGACAATAGAAGTGATACATTTAGGAAAACATAAAAAACATTGGTATGTTGAGTGAATTGGAGGGAGGAAAGTAAGTACTGACATCAGGCAAACCAGCTGGAGGCTGTCACCATTTAGTAGGTATTTATGAGAATCTGGTTAGCAGGAATGGAAAAGAAAAGTGAAGCCAGAAGATACTTTTAAAGGAAGAAATAGCTCAAGTTAAGTTGGGGTTGAAACCAATGTTCAGAGTCATTTATGACTCTAAAATTTCTAGCCTTGGAAGTTACAAGTAGGGTTTTGGAAAGGAGGACTTTCTGGTCATGGGGAAGAAATAAAGTTGTTTAGAAACATGTGTTGCCACATTAGTTTCTGGGGTTGTCCCAGTGGATATGGCCTGTCTTATGTTTAGAAATATGAGATTAATGTAGGAATTAAAATTAATGTAGGAAATAGAGTTTTCACTATATACCCACACACGAACAGGAAATCTTAATGCAACCATTAAAGGGGGCTAACGATTTATATGTCTAAAAGTCAGAGTATAGTTTATGTTTCTACTGTTGATGGGCTTAAACAGAGTTTTATATTTATGTTCACCTGCACTTCATACCATTACAGGTCTCTGTTTTTTCACTGTCTTAACATGCAAGATCCTAGAAAAGACAAAAGACTATTGTATTTTGCTTTGTATAATGTGCTCCCGTGTATAGTGTGCACCCGTGTTTTTGGCCCAAACTTACAGGAAAAAAAAATCTTTTCATTTTAATTTTTTAATTCAAGTCCTTATTTATATTTAGAAACAATCAATTATCATACTTCAGGGTATTATTTTGCAAAGATATTGTTATTGCTTTCTAGAGTTACACTTTTAACGCATAAGCATAAATAAAAGAATTAAAAACATGTATATAGATACTGAATTAGTACTACACATGCATCAAAAATAAGGATACAGATAATGTACATCCTTATTTTTCCCTCAAAAATATGGGCAAAAAGTGTGCCTTATACCAGTAAAATACAATACTTTCTGTCAGTTTTTTTAAACATCTAAGAGTGGTTTTGATGTGCAAAAAGAACTGTTCACAGTTATCTGGAATATAAACTAATATTCAATTTGTTTCAAATTTAAAAATCTTTTTTCTATTTAAATTTTTTTTCAAATTCTGTTAAATTACTTATAAAGCTAGTAAAATACAAAACAGCCTCCTTTCTTTGTTCTTATTATTTTTGGATCAATTCCAGTTGAACTCCTAAAACAATTCCACTTACAAACATAATCAAATTCTCTTAAATGTTTTGCATGGCATTTATAATTTTATATATATTTTATTTTTAAGTAGGTATAGGGCAAACTAATGACCCTAAGGAGCAAAATCTTTTTCAACTTAAAATCACAAGTTTAAATCAATTATGTACTTTAACTAGAATCATAAAACTAGTATTTTAAAACCAGATTACCTTACACATTACAAATACTCTAAATAACAGAATATATGGATTGTCCCATTATTTTTGGAACTTACTATATTTGACATTTACTTGTATGCTCTGGATTTGATTTACTTTATCATATATATTTAACTAAATTTTTCTAGAAGCAAATTTAACAAGCTGCAATTACTGGGTCAGCAATTCAAGGCAATATAGTTGCTTATCTGAGGGAGTCATACTTCCAGGTGATTTTTCCCAAGTCAAAGATGTCAGTAGGGCCCTGGCTGGTGTGGCTCAGTGGATTGAGCACCAGCTTGCAAACCAAAAGGTCACCAGTTCATTTCCTGGTCAGGGCATGTGCCTGAGTTGCAGGCCAGGTCCCCATTTGGGAGCGTGCAATTGGAAACCGTGTCTCTCTCACACATTGATGTTTCTCTTCCCCTCTTTCTCCTTCCTTTTCCCTCTCTCTAAAAAAGTAAATAAAATCTTTTTAAAAAATGTCAGTAGGGCTCTCTCTTACCTTATTTTCTCTTAATTTGGGTATGACTGCATCCTTAATAACCCTTGCAGCCAGTTTGCTTCATCTAACACCTTTACTATCTATGAATTTTACTTCTGATGACATTTCAATGTCTTATTGCCTCTGGCCTGAGTTCTGAAAGACATTTTAATGTTTTCACATTGTAGCATGTAAAATGTTTTTATTTATTTATTTTAATCCTCACCCAAGGATATATTTATTGATTTTAGAGAAAGGTGGGGAGAGAGAGAAAGAGAGAAAGAAACAGATCTGTTGCCTCCTATATGTGCCCCAGCCAGGGACTGAACCCTCAGCCCAGGGATGTGCCCTGACCCAGAATTGAACCCGCAGCTTTTTGCTGTATGGAATGAAGCTCCAACCAGCTGAGCCACCTGGCCAGGGTTATATAATGTAAAATGTTTTTAAAGACACTTTAGCCCTGACTGGTGTGGCTCAGAGAGTTGGGTGTCCTCCGACAAACCAAAAGGTTCAATTTCCGATCAGGGCATACGCCTGGGTTGTGGGCCAGGACCTGGTTGGGGTCATGCGAGAGGCAACAAATTAAAGTTTTTCTCATATATCCATGTTTTTCTACCTCTCTTCTCCTCTCTATAAAAATAAGTAAAATCTTTAAAAAAAAAAAAAGATAAAACATTTCTATTAAAAAGACACTTTAATATTCTCACACTGTATTTTAAATTTCTCTCCTGCATTTTTCATTTTGAGTTTTACATCATGCTATTAATCTAAATTTTTTGGTTAGGACCTCCTGTGTTGCAAGGCACTGTTCTAAACACAGGGATTCAGCAGTGAACAAATCAGATTGTATCTCTGCCCTCATGAAATTTTTAGTCTTGGAGATTGGCAATAAATAGATAAACAAAGAGGTATGTAATAGAGGTGATAAGTCTGTAGAAGAAAAACTAAGCAGGGTAAAAGACTAGAGAATGATAGGGTCTGCTATTTTAATTAGCCCTCTCTGAAGAAGAGAAACATAAATGATATGAAAATATGAACCAAGTGGATAACTAGAAGAGCATTTCAGGTAGTGGAATCATTAAATATAAGGTCTCGAAGGCTCAGGCAGGCCCAAATGATTGTACTAATAGCAAAGGAGCCACCATGACTATAGTACAAGGAGAGTGAGAGAGATAGCCAAGGGCTAGATTATGCAGGGTCTTAGAGATCACAGCCAGAACTTGGGCTTTTTCTCTAAGAATTAAGAAACTTTGAGCAGGGGAATGATAGATACATCTTTAAAAAATCACTCTGGTCTGCCTGCAGTAAGGAGATTAGACTGTAGGAGGACTTGTAGGTGAAAATGATAGAGGCTTGGACACGGATAGTAATAACAGAGGTGGTAAGAAACAGATTTGAGATATAATCTCAAGGCAGAACCAACAGAATCTGCTGAGGAATGAAAGTTTTTGGCCTAATTGATTGGGAGAAGTAAACGGTCATGTACCAAGATAGGGGCTAGTGGTTAACTTTGAGATACCTGTTTGACAACCAAGTAGAGATCTTGAGTAAAGAGTTGGTTGTATGCGTCTGGAGTTTGGTGAAAATTTGGGACTAAGTTAAACACTTGGAATATGATCTATGTTTTTTAAGAAGAAACTCTAAAACCATAATTAACAGAGCATTACTTTTATTGCAGAAAAAACCATATGCCATTGTTGAAAGGAAGCCCAGAATATTCCCGGTAAGTCTTAAAACATCTCTGATTTTTCTTTTGTTCATATTTTTCTTTCTTCTTTCCCTCTCCAAGTGATTGTTAAACTAAAATGTTCCTTTCTTCTCACTTCAAGTGCCTGTTTTGTATATTCTTGTTAAAAAAAAAAAAAAAAGGAATAGTGTGAGGTAGAAGTTACAGTTGAAAATGGGAGGTGGACACATTTCTTTTCAACCTGTATAAAACTTGTATAACTTTTGTAGTCCTAAAGTGAATTGAATGTTGTTATCCTGTTTTTATGTATGGCTAAGGACTTAGCCTGAGCAGACACCTAAGCATAGTAATGTATTGAATAGTAATAGCAACTGAATTCCTGTTATTATTTCCAAACTATTATTTCTTATGGCAGTTTGACCTTACTGTCTCCATCTGTGATTTAAAATTTCTTAATGTGTGCTTAAATTTTGTAATATGAATATATAAGCTATTATCCTAATTTAAAATGAGTCTTTCCTGCATTAAAAGATTACACAGTAGTCAGTTGATATTTTTACTGGTTGTTTGTGAAGTTATTAACATAAAAAAATGTTACTTTTTTTTCCTGTTTCTTATCACAGATAATGAACTACCATCAATCTCTAAGTTCTATAATTTTGAAAAATAAAACTCAGTGTTGATTCTTGCTTCAGTCAAATAACAGTCACAATAATCCATTATCTATTGCAACAGAAGGGAATTTTAGGGGGAACAACCAAAACTGACTAACCTTCCAGCTGGAACTCTGCTTTAGAAAATAGGGGATTTCTTCTGTATTTCATTGTGTATACTTAATGTGTGTCAGGGCCTACGTAGTCTCAAAATAGGCAATTACCTTACTGGTTTCACCAGTTGGGTAATTTATTTATTCTTCCATATACATACTTGTTTTTTATATCCATAGCATTTCTTTTACTTCTGTACTTTTGCCACTGTGATTCTTTGTTTTTGTGCCATTGACCGCTTTGAGAAGCTCCCCATTTGAGGACATGAAGAATGCTCGTTTGTACACAGAATAGAATAAGCAGTAGGAAACATACCCCCAAATCTCTCTGGCTTAACAAAGCAAAGGTCAGTTTCTTATTGGTATCACAGACAATGTGGAACAGGCGATCTTCCTCAGTCTTATAGCTATGCCATCTAGAATAAGGCTTCCAAAATCATGTAAGGGGAAGAGAGGACTGGACATCTCAGGATGATTTTTAAGGCCTAAACTTGGAAGTGGCTTACATCACTTCTCTTAAATCCTGTTTGTCAGAACTCATTCTCATTGTCCCAAATAGCTATATGCTTTTTTATATTTCTCAGCCTCCCGTGACTGGAATCTCTGCCATAGTCCATCCTTCTAGCCTAAATAGCTCTTTGCTTCCTTCTTCCCACACATATAACACAGTTCCTTCCCTAGGGAAAATCCCAAAGTCCCATTCCATCACTGCAACCAGCCCCAAATCCAGGATCTCCAGATGATGCATAGTAGTGTCTGTCAGGTTTAAATAGGACTTCTCATGGAGATTTGAGGATCGATGAACTCAGAAGGCAAGTTAACTGTGTCCCTTGTCCCCCTACCACCACCACACCCATTGTTCAGTGGTGGTGTTTCAGACAGCAGAAACAGTCACTGGTTCTTGGCAATTCTGAAATTGTGGTCAAATATTATAAAGACTCCTAACCCTTGTGTATAGGAAGTTACTTGAATGGAAACTGATTTGTTTTTTGGAAGAAACACCTTTGTTCATTGTTCTTCCTGGCCCCTGGCTCTGTGCAGGGGTTTTTTCTTTTCCATTATCAACCGAGACCACATCTAAAATAGATACTGGGAAGCATGCTCTTGTTAGGGCTCTACAATCTTTTTCACCTGCCTCCTACTCACAGAAGGTTGAGTGCCAGAGGTTGTTTAAAACTCAAACATTCACAGACTTTTGTTGTCTATATGATTGGTTTCTTTGACCATCTAGTTCCCACAACATTTGGTAGGCATAAAAAGGAAAAATACTTGGTAGGACTATTTACTTTTAGCTAGTCCCACATCCATCTGTACTTTCTATACAGTCACCAAGTTCTCTACTTTGTCTTCATGCAGCTGCCTCTCTCAAGTCAGTGGCAGCTATGTGGACACTACCTGATACAGACTCTGGTTAAAAGGCTACCCTCACTTCGATCTGATCTTTGCTATAGGGCTGAGTTCCTCTGTTTACTAAGCTAATTTATTGGGCTTCTGTTTCTCAGAATGTCTTCAATGTTAACCGTTACTATTTAGAGATTCAGAAGCAATCTGATTTTCTAATCCTGAAAGGTCCTGAATTTTTTTAATTTTCTCCATTTTTATTTCTTTCAAATCAGTCACTTCTTGCCTGAGTTCTTACTTCCTAAAGTACTTTCCCCAAGGCAGCTAGTAGTCAAACACATACTATAACTTTTTTCCAGCTACCTCTTCTAGAATCTCAAGTTCATTAGACAGTCTGTTTGAGTTATTACTGCCTTTTATTTCCACCTTTTACCCTCCAGTGCCGGTGTCCTTGCCTCATATGGTTCAATTTTTATTACAGCAGCATTAGTACCACTTCAGAGTACTAATTTCTGTGTTAGGCTAATGTTATCTGTGGTAACAAATTATCCCCCAAAAGTGTAATGGTTTAGACATAAATAGTTTATTTCTTCATCAGATAACAGGTCAGGAAATGGCAGGGGTGGGGATGGGGATAATTCTACTCTACCCAATCACTCACCAACTGTCAGGTTGACAGAATCTATCTTGAACAAAAAGCTGAAACTAAAGTAAGTAATTTGCCTAAAATTATATAGCTTGTCCATGGAGTTTCCAGGATTCTTACCACTTGGTTCTGGGCTCCACAGCCCATGCCTTTTCTACCACACTCTTTATCTAGGTTTGAAAGGACACCTGAACCAGCTACTCAGGCAAAGTTTGCATTCTGTCTCTACTATCTGAGCTAAACAGTAAACTGGTGATTGCCTATATTTAATTGCTGGGCAAACCCTACCGCCTTATATTAAGCTGAAGGTATTTCCCTGTAACTTTTGTAGGGCTTCTATTTCTTTGGGCCATGCAAACAAGCATTGTCTCTTTATCACTCTGTGAAGGCCACTTTCATGCTCTTTCTGGTCATTTTGTTTGAGTGAAACTTCCTCTATTCTTTCACTTAAACCGTAAAATTTTGAATACTGGTTTCTCATCTTTAGACAGCCTCTAGTTTTTCTAAGTCTCATTTACAGTGTGAATTCCAAAGGTTAACTAGATTTTTGGTGTGAGGTCCGACCAGGTGGATACACCTCTGCAGACAAGATTTTTCTGCTAATGCATGTTTGTTTTCCTAGGGTGATACAATCCTGGAGACTGGAGAAGTAATTCCACCAATGAAAGAATTTCCTGATCAACATCATTGAAGATTAAGTTAAAATTTCAGAGGCATATGAGCCCAAGTTTTGTTGCTATATTACCATATTTACTGAATATATTTTCTGGGAAAGTAACTTGAATAAAGTGTACCCTTGGGTATGTGCTCTCTGTTTCTTCCAAAACAGTGTACAATTTAAGACGCAATTATTTAAGGATAAGTAATAACTGGACATGCTAAAAAAAAAATGATATGAGCAATAATCCTTTTCTGGCCATTCTTGACTTGGAAACCAGGATGTAGAAAAACTCACAATAGTTTTTCTTTTTTTTCCCCTTGCATAGTACTTAATCTAGTCTGATGTGTAGGTATGCAACAGAATAAAATGTTGCAATGAACAAATATAAGAATAGAAATTCCACACACTTTTGTTTTAAAGGCTGCTTTCCAAGGCATTTTAAAAGTATGTTAGAAACTGTAAGTTGAAAAGCATGTCATTCCACCTATGATCTGATACTCAAAGGCTGTCAGATCTAGGCCCCTTTCCTTTGTTGTATAAGAATTTAAAAGTATTTAAGAAGTTAGCACATTAGTGGTTCATTGGTTATAGTGTCCTCCCAATACGCCAAGGTTGCGGGTTTTGTTCTCCAACCAGACATACAAGAAGCAACCTATGAATGCATAAGTAAGTGGAACAACAAATCCATGTTTCTCTGTCTCCCTTCCTTTCAAAAAGTCAATTAAAAAATGAAGGACTATGCAAAAGTACATTTGGAAACTTTGTATTACGTATTTTACTTATATTTACAAGTGTCAGATAAGCATGAGGTGAAGTATTTGCATAGAATAAAATCTAGAGGAATTACAAATTTTCATTCATTCCCGAAGATTTTGTCTGGGTATTTCTTCCTTAGCTGTCGTCCAGCCGCTACTGTTGATGCATAGATGACATACCCCCAGGAGAGTAATACGATCACGAGGAGCAACTAAAAAAAGCAAAAAGCAAGAGGGGGAGTAAAAGCGAAAAAATTCACCGTAGTAAGAGTAGTCCCTGCTCCCCACTCCCATTGGTTGCCATGTACGCTGCTAAGGTGCGAATAAACGGAATTCCGGAGGCGTGTCCACTCAGCTATTCTTACGTAAGAAGCGGAAGAGCGTGTCCTCCAGGAAGAGGCGGAGTTGAGATGAAGGAGTGAAATAAATTCAGGAATGGGTTTGAGAGTTTCTGGACGTTGGAGAAATACCTGAGCTCTAACCCGTGGGCCTAGGGAGTCAGCAGCGTGGAGTCTCGCCCGACCCAGGACCTACCACTGAGTAAATACAATCCAGGGTTCGGCGACTCACTGGCTTCATGGTAAGGAGGCGACGGCAATCTGCGGGAACGAGCAGGACCTGCAGGCCCTAGAGAAGCCTCCAGGGCGGCGGCTGCCGGGTGGTGGCGGCCATCTTACATCTGGGCACGAATGCCCGCCCACTCTCCTCCAGCAGCGATTCCTGTCTGCCAGCCCGGCCTCTTCCGGCCGGGGCTGGGGGCGGGCTTACGAGTTCGAGGGCCTAGCCCGCCTTTCAGGGAGAGGGTTAGGCAAGCGAGAAAATGTTTAAAAATGGTTTTATTTTTGTTTTTTGACTCTCAGAGAGCTAGGCCTACCTCGTCAACCGGTTCTTTCAGTTGCAGTGCAGTGTTAAAGCAAGGTAATGTACTACCATGTGCATTTAAAAGTTTATTTGAAAAACTAATCTATGTTTTAGATATTATATTTGGTGTCTAACGCTGGAAGAATTAATGTTTCCTCTCGCATCTGTTCTCATATATTGATAGTCTCCTATATTTATCCTTGATGTAAACAAGAATACCGCCCATTTTCTTATAATGGTGACGACTCGGGGGAAATCCTGTTCAGCCCTTTTTCAAGAAACAAGTCTTATAACGCAATGGCTTGTTGATATGAATGATAACTTCTGAGAATAACGTGGCACCAGTTCCCTGGCATAATGTCTGCCAATCATAAAAGAGTTTGTTGAGCGTTTATTATGTACTTGGAACGTTAGCATTTATCAAATATTAACCTAAAGGACGGCGGTTTGGCACGCGGGCGGGTATACCAGGTTCAGCTTTAGAATGTTGGGGACGCTCCCATCTGAGGCTAGCGGGTTCAATGAGGCAGTGGGCCACTTTAGGCTTAGACGCTCTTTTTCTTTGTACAGCTCAGATATCATCTAAAAATAGGGTTTTAATCCTAATTTTAGGGAGTGGAGAAGGGGGAGAGCAGTCTTGAGAGAAAAACGTTCTGTTTGCGGAAGATTCCAAGGCTATGTCCTTTAAGGTAATCTCTGTTTATCTCCGGACTTGAGTAAATCTCTTTACTGGTTGGGCTCTGGCTTTAGATTCTATTCCAATCTCGGTGTTATTTCCTAAAAGGTAGCTCGGTTCCTTCATACACTAGAAATAATTTTAGTAACTTCTCCGGAGTCTGGTGAAGTTTAAATGATATGAAGCTGGTTATCATGTTTTCCGGGTAAGGAGTGAACATTAAATTACTGGCTTTGTAACGACCAGAGATTGGTAGTAGTAACAAGAAGTAAAAAACAGTGATAACAGTGATTTCTGCCTCGGAGGGTCACGTCGCTCTCCCCACAGGAACCCAAGGGGTGGTGGGGGAAGGGACCAGCGCTCTAAGCCCCGCCCTCAGTGCTGGTGCCCTTCTAATGCGCATGCGTTACGCTGGCGGGTGTTTTGTTTTGATGCGCAGGGGCAGTGGGGTGGGTTTTGTTCAAACCGCCACCTCCAAGCTACCATGGTGATCAACGCTTTACGTCACAGGGGTCGCAACAGCCGTCGGGGTCTCCGCTGTCTCGCGAGGAGGGTGAAGGGCCCCCGCATGCTCCGGTTCCTCAGGGTCCGCGGAGAAGTCGCAGGGTACGCCTTCGCGGATCTTGCCGTCATCGACCTAGCTTCCTAAACCATCCGGAGCTTGCCACTAGCGCACCAGCCAGGCATGCGCCAACATTCTCCGAGGTAAGTGAGAGCCGAAACAATGGGCGTGGGGTCGAAAGGGCTGGGTGAGCTGGAGCTCTCATCTGAAGCGAGGCCCCGAGATGAGGGAGCAGGTCCAGGTCCAGGTCGTTCGGATTCGGGCCTCGGTGGGGCAGGGTGGGCGGACAGAATCTGCGGCGCACCTGTGGATTTGTACCGATGGGTGGGGGAGGGCTGGGCTGCGTTTCCGAGAGGCGCTCCCCCGGGGGCACGAGCCGCGTACTGGAAAGACATTGGCCTCTGGGGTGAGGGGGACGAACCAACACAAAATGTTACAGTTTGAATTGTGGCATCTCCACTGTCAAGAGTGTGACCTTGGATGGGTTCTCCAGCTTCTCTGAGCCTGTCTGTAAAATGGGAGTCAAAATATTTTAGTTCATTGTGGTTGTGTAATGCACGTAGTGTTTGTCTTAAATCCTGGCCGGTGGCAGTTTTCAACCAAAAGGAAGAGTCTAGCACTGGGACTGTTCTGAGTTGTCGGTGCAGTGCTATATACTGTAGGCTCTGCTGCCTGCCCGTGAATTCTTCATCCGTCCAGTCAGTGTAGCTTTCCTCATGGGCTGCAGATTTCTACACTGGAAGGGGGCATTACTGAGATGAGACAAATAGTGATTTTAGGGGAAAAGTGAATAGAAATTTTGGTAGGTAATTTTAAATATTAAGATAATTAAAATATTAAGAAAGAACTACTCAAGATTTTAGTTAATAGTGGTGACGGTTGGGGGTTTTTGTTTGTTTTTAATCAATGATATGCAAAGCTATACAGTCAGTGGAAACAAACATGCTTGCCTGGAATGTGTGGCTCTAGATGGGAATAGTTCCCAAGCGATTGTTTTTAAAATTTCTTTTAAAAGATTCTGTTTGTTTTGAGAGAGAAAGGGAGGAAGAAAGAGCAGGAGAGAAACATATGTGTGAGAGATACATCCATAGGTTGCCTCTCATGCCTGGCAACTGGGGGCCTGGCCCCCAACCCAGGCACGTGCCCTGATGAGGAATCAAACTGGTGACCCTTTGCCTCGCAGTTTGGCACTCAGTCCACTGACCCACTCCAGCCAGGGCCCAAGCCATTCTTTTTATTGCTGGAAATGGAACTAAATTTTTAGGATCTGGTCAAGATACCTTATAACTTCTATATTATCTTTTGGAATTGATTAAATTGCAGTTCAGAGGTACAGTAATTTCTTTAAAGTTACAAGAGGTAGAACCCAGCTTATTTTAAAATTTAAATACTTGGGGAGTATTTCTAGTTTATCCACTTGTAAATCCTTTTTAGCTACTTTGCCAAGGTATACCAAGCACAATAATTAGGTACAAAGATTGGTTGTCATAGACTGTCACCTCTGTGGGCTTTATAATGAGTTATGGGTGATGAAAATGACCAGAAGTAACTTTATTTTCACATAACATAGGGAAGCGATACTGAGTATTTTATGCTCACCAACCACTATTCCACATGTCTTTGTGGAGTGTATCTCTTTTCAGGTAGGTACTGTTACTTAAGGTTTTAAGAAATTAAATAACGTCCTGTAAATGACACAGCTATTAAGTGGTGTTAATTCTCAGCCGTGGCTCAGCATTAGAATTAGTATCACTCCTCCAAGTATTATCAGCTGGTGATTTGATTTCATATTCCGTGATAATTTAAGAAATGCTGTAGAAGATGACTTTTACAGGAAATCTGGTTTATAAAAAATTTAATCCTTCACAGCATTGCAACTTTATGTTTATATCACTATGCAGTTTTTTAAATGTCCAGTCTATGGTCTAATTTAGATTCCAGCCTCCTGATTCTTCACCAACCCCCAGTTCATTTTCAGTTCCCAAAATGAAATATTCCCAAAATGTAGTAAGACCAGTTCATCGTCTTTTTAAAGCCTACAGATTTAAAGATTTGGGGAAGGAAAGGTTTAGCTTAATGAGTTTATCTTAAAGATAGTAAACTTACTTAGAATTTTGGAAGTGGTTAAGAAAGTTTAGAAAGTGGATCAGAAGAACTTACTAATCTTTTTCCGGGAGGAGAAATGAATTTAAGTCGTAATTCCTAAAGAGCTAGGGTAGGGCTTCTAGAGCCTGAAGCACTAAATTTACCCTCAGGTCCACCTTTGCTACCTAAACCAGAACCTCTCCTACAGAATCTTAATCTGTCTCTAGCCATCTGTTTTATGTCTTAAAGAGCTTTATTGAGATACAATTTACATTTCATCCATGTAGTTCATCTGTCAAATGTATATGGTCTGATAGTTTTTAGTATATTTAAAGAGTGCAACTATGACCAAATTGAACATTTTAATCACCCCAGGAAGAAACCTCGTAATGCCTCTCCCAACCCCCAGCAGCCACCAATCTACAGGAGTGGGCAAAAGTAGGTTTATAGTTGTGAGTACATGAAAGTTTATTCTTGTATTATTAATTATTGTATTATTTTCCGTATTAACAACTATAAATCTGCTTTTGTCCATCTTTGTACTTTTCATCTATCGGTTTGCCTAATCTGGACATTGCCTATAAATGGCATCATACAGCATGTGGTCTTCTGTAGCTCATCTTTTTTTTCCATTTCACATAATGAAAGGTTCATGGATGTTGTAGAATGTATCAGTACTTCATTCCTTTTTATTACCAAATATTTCATTTTATGGGTATACCACACTTTATTTACCTTCCCCAGTTGATGGGCATTTGGGTGATTTCTGCTTTTGAGCTTTTATAATAAATGCTGCTATGAATAATC